CTCCCAAAATTTTTGCTTTTTTGTTGAAAGTTTATATAAATTACGTAAAAATAATATCTTCATAAAAATAAACGAAAGCTAAACCTTTTATTATTTTCTTTTCGAACAAATTACAAAGTGAAAGATTTTATGAGTATCTTAAGAAAACAAAATATTAAATTTCATTTATTTCGGTAAAAAATTAATGTGGCTTAGGCCGCTTTAATTCTGAGCCTCTTATTTAATATACAATTGTAAGAATTTTGCAACAATAGCCACATGTATTTTCTCAATAAGAGGCGCATAAGAGCCGAGCAAAATGTTCTTTTACATTTGTTTAACAAAATCTAATAACTTCTACTATTAATATTTCTGAAACACATAAAATTTAAAAAAATTAAAAAAATTTAAAAATTTGCATGCTTTTAGGTGAAAACGAATTTATCTTGCATAATACGGTACAAAAAATGTTTGTGTCAACGAAATACTCTTAAATTCAAAATTCGTAACTTAATAACTGCAAGACGATTAATGCTCTCTAATTTTGGAATTGCTGCTCCCTGTCTCTTAAAAATTTTGTTTACTTTCATTAACTTTTTAAATAATAATTTTCTTTACCTATAATATTTTAAATAAATGTGACAATTGATTAAGATAATTTTTGACTTTTTATTAATTTGTCATTTTAATTTTGAAATTTTGTTAATATATTATTTTTAAACACAAATTATATTTAATTATATAAAGTACAAACAGCGATATTTCATAATTTATTTGATTAATAATTTAAAACTCCATTCGAAATTACATAAAAAATAATAAATTTTTAAAACATTATTCGCGATTTTCATTGCAACTACTATCAAATTTAGTTTTCTCTCGAATGTTAATTTTTCTCTAGAGAATTTAGGAACGCAATATTCTTATAACAGGTATCTTAAAATATTTGTTGGAGGCATTAAACCGCGCGCATTGTACAACCTATGAAACTATCACTGTTTCATATGAAATAAAACAATGATCATCCTGAACAATATCGTCCAGAATTTCACCTACATATTTGCAATTTAATTATTAAATCAACTTCAAATGAACTCTTATGCACTTTCATTAAATTTAAAATCTTATTATATAATACGGATATGTGATTTTTGCATCCTTGAAATAAAATTTAATCCACTTCATATTGAATATTTCTTTTTTTTTTTTAATTTTTGATATTTGAGTATATATTTACATAATACATATATGCTATAATAGTTCTTAATAACCTTTAATAATACAAATTTCCAAAAAAAAAGCAACAAAAACACAAATATTTCAATTTTATTTATGTTATGGGGGATATAAATATTTCAAAACTAAATCTCTCTAAAAGTTCACAACTATTTACAAGTTAAAGAATCTCCTGAGAATTATATAATATTTTTTTTTTAAATATATTTATATACATTATTCTTATATAACATTTTATTCTTTAAATGGGCTAATATGTATATGACCCAAATGATTTTATGTGAAGAGTGTATAACAACAAAAAAAATCTGATGTGGTCAGCACATAACCGACCGCATTGTGTATTGTCTAGTTAAATGAAAGTGTTACAGAATATTATAAAAATGTCTGTTAAATACTTCTTTCCAATTTTTAGGACATTAGTAAGCTTATAGTTAACATACTTAGAAAAATGTAAATTTGGCTCTTAGTAGAGTTTCGCTTTGTGCTACCCGAATTCCCTGAAATGCTCGCCAGTTAGTTTCGGTAACAACCAGAACTCAAATATCAAATTTCAAGAAATTCCATCAATTTGTTCTATGGATATGGTGAAAAATGTAAAATCGGCCCGCAAATCAGTTTTCGAGCCCTGATTTTTCCAAAAAATTTATATGTTCATTGTTTTAATACGAGGAGTTCATATATTAAATTTCAATGAAATCGGTTGATTATTTCTCTTTATATACACAAAAATGTATATTTGGCCCGTAGTAAACGTCTAGTTGCCAATGCCTGATTTCTTCCAAAACATACGAATTTTTGCGGACGGTCGAGCTGAGCTTATATATAAAATTTCAAGTAAATCGGTTGAATATTTTCTTCAAAATGTTCAAAAATGTAAAACAGGCCCGCTAAAAAGTGCAGTTCCCGAGGCCTGATATATACCAAAAGTTGATCGATCCGTGCCATGGTGGAAACAAACTTACATATAAAATTTCATCAAAATCGGTTCAGCCGAACTTGAGATACACGCGTGCACACACAGACCGACAGACGGACAGACCGACAGACCGACAGACCGACAGACCGACAGACCGACAGACCGACAGACCGACAGACCGACAGACCGACAGACCGACAGGTTGCTAAAAATAGTTTATTTACACTTCCCTGCTATGGAGAAGTACGTTCCCACCGAAAACTCGATATGCAAAATTTGTTGCCATCACATAACCTACCTATTGTTTGCACAATACGGTCGGTAAAAACAACAGAGTAAAAACAAAAAATCAAACAAAATTGTCTGAAAATTTTGTAAATTTAGATAAAATTGCTTGTATCTTATTTCTTCATCCTTGTAACATTGCAAATTTTTTTTTTCCGTATACTTTATTTTTTTTTAATAATAGCTAATATCATTACATAGAGTAGAGTAGATTATATTACATTGATGTATGAATATAATAGTTATTCTATTTAATAAGTAGATATCCTTGTTAAGTTTTTGTATTTTTTATTTTTTTGGCTTTGTTGTTGTTTCGATTTTTCTATAAAAGTTGTCTGGATGTAATAGTTTATGGATGTTATTCACACTTTTTTTTTGTATTTTGTTTCTTGGTATAACTCTCTTTGTTCTCTTATTCTTTAATTTTTTTTTTGGTGCTTTATTTTTTTTTTGTTTTTTTTTTTCTATTTGTTTTTTTTTATTTTATCGTTCTTTTGTTTTATCTATTAGTTTGCTTTTTAAGACAGTTTAAGACAATAACAGTTAAGTTGGGTTGATCTTTATTTTGTTATTATTTTTCTTATTTTTTTTCTTACTTTATGCTCGTCTTTATTATACTTATTTTTCTATTTTATATATTCGTTATTTTTTTCTTTATCATCATTTCTAAATCGTTTATAACGATTGTTATATTCTTTTTTAAATGGTTTTTGATAGTTAAGCTAATGAACGCTATAAGAACTATATAGAACACATATCTTTATGATAATATAATGTTATATAATATGTATATTAGTAAGATATTGTATAGGTGCGCAAAGTGGAGTCTCCTTATAGTGAACGGCCAAAATCATTTTATTTTGTTCTTAAAATGGAAATTTTTTAATACAAGCTGCATTAGAACAAAGATTTTTTTTGCATGGATTACTCGTTGTATAACAGATTTCACTGTTAGCTCAACATTTTCTTAACGTTTTTTATAGTTAATTATTAGAAAAATTTGGTTTATGAATTAAAAATTGGAAAGAAAATGGAGCATACGTCAATTTTACATTAAATAGTTTGTTAAAATGATAAACGAGAACAAACGGAACGAGACAAAATTGTTACTACTTTGATCATTCTTTTTTCAAAAGAGTAATTATGTCTCAAGAATTTCTCATATTAATTTAAAAAAGATTATTTGGCTAATATATGAATATTTTAGAATAAATGGCGTTTTGAAACATAACTGAACGTAATATAATGTAACGTAATGTGAGGCAACGTAACAGAATGTATCGCATCGTAAGGTAGCGTAATGCAACGAGACGCTACATCGCATAACGTATTAATGTTGTAAACAATAATAATTTATACTGTTTATGAAAATAAAATTTTAGGAAAATATGGAGGCCCCTTGTATAAACGAAATTAGAAAAATTCAACCCTGTCTATTAGTACAAAAACCCTGTGTAAAATAATTAACATGTAAAAGAAATGAGATAAGAAAAATAGTAAAAAAGAAGTGATAGGTGACGTAAAGAATAAAGAAAAGTAAGAATAGTGCAATGTTAATAGAAAAAGAAAAGAAGTGAATAACAAAAATAAAAAAAAGGAAAAACAAAATAAAGTTCACTGTTTCAATAAGATGCTCTTCATCTTCTTCCTTCTTCGTCTCTGTTTTTTTTTTCCTTTTATTTTTCTTCTTTTTCTGTTCATTCATTTTAATTCTATGCAAATATTGACTTTTCTTATATTGTAAATTTGGTTCCTTTTTAATTTTTTCATAGCTTTTCAAATTTTAGTTGTGTTTTCTTTTTCTGCAGTTATTGTCATATTCCATACACAATATACATATACTTATATTGTACTTTGATGTCAATGCAAAATTCCGGACTATTATTATAGAAACGGAAATTTTCGGTTTTCGTCATTCTTTTGTTTTAATAGGGTGTAAAAAAGAGGAGATTAAAATATCAATTGAGGGACATTTTTAATAAAGAGAAAATGTCATTTCTATTGTTGATTTAAAGAATAATATTTTAAAATAATGATATTTCATCCTGTATTTTATTCTTTAAATCATTCTTTGCATATATTTAGGAACAATTAAAATGATAATGTATTTGATATAGATAAGAAAGGATAAATGAATTATCAAAGAGAAATTTAATGATTTATTGAATCAAATTAAACATCAAATTAAGGTTTCCCGATTAAGTTGCACCTATATATACACATAATATATATATTATGTTAAAATAATAGATTATTATTTGATGAAAAGTACAATTGAATATTATTTGAAGAAATTTTCTATTTATACATTAGATTTTAATTATCTTTAAAGTGTGATAAAGCTAATATTTTTTCACAATACGTGCATATAAGAGTTCATAGCAATAGATAAATGGTTGAGAAAGAACTTGGATTGAAAAGCAAAACTTCCCAAAGTCAAACGTCTGCCTTAAATGCTTTTAAGGCAAAAACAGAATCTAATTAAATTTTACAGGCAAACAAATAATTTATATATTATATAAAATAAAATTATAAATTACTTAAATTTCTTAAAATTTGTTTTCTTCTTTTCTCTTTACAGTACCAAGTCAACCACGTAACGTTACTATTTTAAATGTAACATCAGATACAATAAAACTATCATGGTATGAACCAGAAAATCAAAATGGTGCCATTGTTGGTTATCATATTTTTTATGTACATGACAATCAAACCGAAGTAGCTATTGTTAAAAATTTCGGTAATTCAGCTGGTCCACTTCTAAACTGTGTTTTAGATAAATTAAGTAAGTTTAAATTTTATATATTTTTTTTTATTTTATTTAATAATAATAATGCAACGATTTTTCTTTTTTTTTATTAAATTAACATAAATCAAAAAAAAAAATATAAGAGAAAATCGTCTTTAGCCTTAAAAAAATTATATTAAACGAGAATAGGTAGAGTTGACCGTGTCAACTCTGTGATACCCACACAAAGAAATTATTTTAAGTGCTTAGTGTTAATTACCACGCTCTTCTATACGTGCTCCGGTTTTAATTCGTTTATGAAAAATTTCAGCTCTGCAATTTCAATAGTTTCCATAATATACGAACAAACGATTTTTGAAGTTATATGGCAGCACCACTACCAGTCAAGAAGTTTTTATTAGTTTTATTAAATATACGAACCCTAATGAAATATTTGCTTGTGCGAAGCGAAATTTCAATACTTTCGGTTCATTAATTTCTGAGATATAGTTCAAAAATTCTTGAATTTGTAGGGCAGCTACACAAAACACTGTCTCGATATCACATCCAATTTAAATAAGTTTTCGGTATTTACTGTTATAAATCATTTGTGAAAATTCGATGAGCATAGCTCAATTAGTTTTTGGGTTATCGTTTTAATGGACAAACAAACGGACAGACGTCATTAAATCGAATCAGAATTCGACGCTGATCAAAAACATGCTTTTATATCTATGTCTCAGACCATTATTATTTCTTCATGCAATAGAAATGATAACACAAATTTATTATACGCTTCCAACATACGTTCGCACAGACATAAAGAGTAATAATTTTCTTCTTAACAAGCCACTAAAATATTATTGGAATATTTTAGGAAGTTGCTGATGAAATCATCCGGAACAAATTATTGAATAATTTTAATTTTGCAAAAACAAAAAATTTCAAACATTATTCTATTTATCTTAATGTTTATGAGTTTTTTTTAGTTCAAAACAAAACTAATGTTCTTATACGATCTAATGTTTGTTAACAATGCAATAACAAATCCTTAGAGATTTCGTATAGATATTAATTATACAGGAAATACATTAGGAAATTACTACGTATATTAACGATGTGTTTGTATGTAATATCAAAATACTTTCCATGCGTATCTATAAACGTATATACACACTTAAAATATAAGTGTGTGTAATTATAATAGACATTTTTAAAATTATGTGATAATATTCTAATTATTATATTAAAGTTTAATAATGTAATTATAATATAACCCATAGGATTTCTATTTTAAAATTTTTTTATCCTTTTTTCAAAATTTTAGTTATTTTTTTTTAATTTTTTGTTTTTTCTTAAAAATATTCCTACATAATAATAATTATACACGTACCTCTTAATAAAACAATCCTTTTTTTATTATTCATTTATTATAATATATTTATTCCCAATTTTATTAATTATATAAAAGTTTGTACCCTTATCTTAATAATCCCTCTCATTTAATACAAGATACATACATGTATACGAATACGTTGTATGCCTCATATTGTTATATATACTTCTATGATTATTATAATAATATTTTCATATTAAAATATATTTTTCTTATACATAATTATTTTAAAATAAGATATGCAACAAGATAAAATTATAACAATTATATAGTAAAGTAAATATTTCATAAAATATATAGAATCTCTTATAATATACTCTATTAATATGTATATATTTTATGTGAAAACCTATATAACAATAATTATTATTGAAATGAAATTTTAACAAAATTGAAAGAAATAATTTCTTTTATTTTATATAATTTTACATTACTAGCCGATATTATAAGAAAACTGGTATAAAATTATACAAAATAAAATTTATATAATAAATGTGCATAAAAATTTAACTGTGCGTAATTTCTAAGAATAAATTACTTTTCCAATTTTATAATTTGAAAATAAAAAAAAAAACATCTTTAATAACTATTCACATAAATTATTATAACATTTAAAGGGATTATAATATATGTGCACATGTATGTAATTATAATTTATTTTTGCTTGAGTAAATTAAGTAAATATTTAAAAAGTTAAAGGGCAAATTAAAATGTTACCAAAACATTATAATAAAATGAATTCATATTAATATTTTAGAGTTATTCCGCCTCTTCTCGAAAGTAACAAATATTCAAATTAAAAATTTCAAAGTTCAATAATAATATAGAGTTCAACAATTGAATTTTTTATTTCACAAAATTTAATTATTATTTATAAGCATACTATTCGAAATTAGAAAAATATTCGAAAATTAAACGTTCCGTCTTAAGATATTTTATGAATAATTTCAGCTAAAGCTTCGACTAATACATCGTATGTTATTCATTCCAGCATAAAAGTTACTGATTTAAATTTAAAATAATTTTTTGTTTCACATTAATATATTTTTATTTTATTGAACATGTTTCACTGTTGTTCTACTTTGGAAATGTACTGTCAAATCAATATGCATATAATATACTTACTTGAACTATTGCTTGTTCCAATATAATTTTTGAAAATAATTTAAAAAATATTCATATACGTATATAATATATTTTCTATTTTTTCATATTTTCTACATTTTATACATATATACTCAAGCTTTTAAGGAAGAAATTTTGAAAATAATTTTTCAGAATTATTATTGAAACGTTAAAATATCAAGGGACATAATTTATAGAGTTTTATGTGTGTATATATATATTAAGTATATATATATATATATATATAAAAAAATTTGGTATACTTACTTACTATAAGAATAAAATCCACAGAGACAGAATATTTCCTTATCGTTAGAAAATGATTTCCATCAATGAAAACTAAAAGAATTTTTATATAAAAAGGTGAATTATCAATAAATTACTTTACGTGTCTTAAAAAATTGAAAACAAAAAGCTTTTTAGATTCCCTTTAATGGAAAAGTAGTACATATATAGAACATTTCTTATCATAATATAAAATTATGAATATGGATTTTAAAAACGTGAGTTTGTCTTTTTTTTAAGGGAATTGATATATGATGGCAAAATAATTTTATAACCAGAAATAAGTAAGTAATAATTACATAAAATAATTATTTAGAAATGGTAATATTATTTAGAGCACGAAAATTTTGAAAATTTTTAAAAATTTTAAGATATTTTCGTAAATTTTCTATATATTTTCAAATTAATATCAATTTATGAAATTCCACAATGCAATTAATTAACTATCAAAACTTTTAAAACAAATACAAAATTAGTTATCACAGATAATTGTAGATTCAATATAACAATTTTTTCAAATCTTAAACGATAACTTCACATTTCTTAATGGGACTTTTGTTAAAATAAGTTAGTCGTTTTTTAAATAACATATACTTAAATGGAAAGCATTAATTTTCGTTTTCTTTTGAAATTCTCTTTGAATTCTTGAACGCACATTATAGAAATTAATAATAATTTCTACTGCCAAAATTATTATTAATTACATAGAACTCAACATGTACGTGTAATACAATTAAATATAACAATAAAAATATTGATTCAAAAGTAAAATTCTCATTAAAAGCAAGGGCTTTAACCGAAAATATTTTTAATTCATCATTTTAATACAATTTAATAACCTGGATTTCCGGAAAGTTTGTAAAAATCTCGAAAGACACAAGTACACAAAAAAATAATAGTGTCCAGTCAAGTTTTCCAATAATTCCAGTCAATAGTTCCATCAATAATTCCATCCAATAAGTCCAGTCAATAATTCCATCCAGTCAAGTTTTTGGTTGTTTAATCACCAAATTTAATTCATAAAGCAAGTCGAAAACAATTAACTTTACTCAATAGTTCTTCTAGTTTAGTACAACTGCCGTAAGTCAATTTTATGTCTCTGAAAAATATTTTTTTTTTAGCCAATGTTAATATGACGTGATAATTGGTTTTTATAATTAATTGCTGACTATATTGCAAGATTATTGTATTAAACATCAATAAGTAATTTTAAATTGTGATGGTCAAAATCAATCATTGTCAAAGCTCGAAAAAATTCGAAAATTTATCAACTTTGACTATTCTTTGCATACTTTTCCATAGAAATTAATCAGAGATCTATCATTTCATTACAAATCTAAAGTTTATTTAATTTCCATTCTTTAACTTGCCTAATTTGAACTTTGAACAAGTGAACCTAATTTTAAGATCTCATAACACAAAATATATTAAAAAATTCGAAATTCATCAATATTTTTGAATTTGTCATTCATACTTGTCACATCTAATTTATTTTTATTTAACAAAAATTATTTAAATTTATAGTAAAATATTAAAACAACACGGTTATATACATATATTAATTGTAAACTGTATGTTAATTAAATTTCCCTGTAAAATAAACATAAATTAATTACAACAAAAAAAAAAATTAAATATGGTACATAAAATATAATTACATGGGCGAATTTATTAATGCATAAAGTGTGTCTTTAAATATTATTGATGAAAATTAATAAATTTTAATTTTTGATTTATATTCTGTCATAAAGCATATTTTGAAATTCATATAAATTTACATATTAATATATATATATATATATATATAAGTATATAGAAAATATTTTAAATAATAGTTTTTTTTATGTTTTTGGTTTTTGTATAACAACCATAATTGTCTTAATAATAATTTTACATACAAAAATTTAAATAAATAAACACATTAATTCATTCATGTTATACAACACAAAAATTTCCACAAAATTTTAATGTAATATATTGATATTTTGCTTAATAAGATTTTATTGGCTATTTTCATCAATTATTACTATTTTATTCGAGATTAATTGAATTCTGAAATACGCATATATACGACATGAAAAACTTCCTCATTATATATTTTTATATTGAAATTAAAACATTTTAATTTTTATAATTATTTATTAAAAAAGGTTAATGCATTTAAATTAATTTAGTAATACTTACACATATTCATGAAATATTACGAGTTAACTGCTAGCTTATGTTGGCTTAACTTGAAATTTGGTTATGGCAACAGTCCTTTAACTGAAGGGTCTCGGATTCAAACCCTGATCAGGTCACTATAATAATTATAGTACTTTACATTATGTAGCCTAAAATACAATATTATAAAATAAAGTATTAATGTAAAATTTATTACCCATATATCAATAGAATTCGATATTTCATACTAACAAAAATAAACGATAAATATCAATAACCTTCAATATTTAATATAAGGAAAAAATTGCGGCAAACTGGTTCCCTAGTTAACCAGAAAAACTGATAATGGCTGTTAATCAAGTGGAAGGTCCTAAGATAATTAATAATAAGAAAATAAAAGAAATTAAAAAATATAAAAATTATTAAGCACGTTCAAGATAATTCAAAGATTTTATTATAAAAAAATGCAACATAATTCTATAAGAGCAAATCAAAGAAATTAAAGCTAAATTCAAATTACTGATTTTTTAGTCTTAATTCTCATGATTAGACTGGGAACGTGTTAATACACTAATATCACATAATGTTACTGTTGTTTTTATACACTTTTATTTAAGTATATAAGACTGCAAAAATAATCTGTGATGATAAGCAAACGGAAGCCACGTGGATATTCAATTATTACTGAAAGTACCAGAATTTCAAAATCAAAGTCATTCAAATAATACCCAAAACTAATTTAAAGAAAAAACAAACAACAAACTTAAAACCATAACTCCAAAAATTTTTGTTTACAAAAACACAAATTTTTTTATTAAATCCTATCTTATAATCTTCATTCCAAATTCGAAAAATATTTTTTTTTCCACATTCTATCATTATCCTGTGGCCAAAATTAAAGAAAATCATTTCAACTTGTTTTGCTTTTTCGTATCTATTTAATCAGCTCTATGGTTTATTTTATTTAATTAAATTGAAATAACGAAATCATAAAAAAAAAAAATTTAATTTAATCTTAAAGGAAAAATATTTTTTACACCATTATATAACATAAATTAATTAGCTAATGGCAGGTGAACGAGAAAAAAAAGATGAATGATTTAACCAATAAAACCTACCTTCATGTTTTCTTTTTATTATTTTTACAAACCAAATTACCATATTAGATTTAAATAAGGGGAGAGAAAGCAAAAAAAAAACACACAAATAATTTCGAAAAGCAAATTTATTTAAAGAGATTTAAGGACCACAGTTAATTTTATTGGAAATTTACAATTTGAAATGTAATTGAAAGAAAAATAAATAATTAATTATAAAATTTTTATTCAAAAACAAAAAAACAGGCAATAAGAAATCAGAAAGATAAAAAAAAATCTGAATATATTTCAAATATTTAAATGAACAAAAAAAAAAAATTGATGTCACCCACGTCAGACAAACAAGCGTTCATTACCTACTTCTTTTTTCTCATTGGAATGTAATTATTTTAAATATATTATAGTTATTTTTAAATTTATTTATACGGGCCAGCTTGATGTAGATGATATACATAAAAAAGAAAAAAGTGGAAAATTGAAAAAAAAAAAAAAAAATTCTATAAAAAAAAAAAGTAAAAGCAACGGACTTTGTACATTTTTAAAAATGGTAAGGAAGCATTCTTAAATAATGGCACTCAAAATAATTAAAAGGTTTTCCATAAAAATTACCTTTAATTTAACTGTGTATATCTTCGCTATATCGAAATGTTTAACTGTAACATTATCAATTATTATTTGTCCAGGAAACGGGGGGTTTACTATATAATTCAAGTTTTGTAAAACGATTTTCGTATTTGAATAAAGTTGGGTCAAACCAATGGTTTGTATTGTAGCACTTTTCCCTTCAACAAGTGAAAATTCTGCTTTTAAATACAGTCTATGTATAGCTATCACACTATTAAAATTATTTTCATTCATATACAAAACTATTTCTAGGATTGCATATATTTAGGATGACGCATATATGCAGTCTTTGAAATAAAGCAAAAATTAATATAAAAAGGGGTTAACATAATGCTCGATTTTAAGGGTTAATTGTGTGAGTTAAGAAAAATAATTATATTTTTTAATTTCACGGAATTTACCGTTAGCTTTTTGCGTTTATAAAAATTTGGAAAAGCTTGCGGTTTCGGAAATATAAGGTGTCAAAAATTCAAATTTTACGAATTTCAAGAGGTGATAACTTGAGAGGGGGTGGAGATGGAAAAAAATTTTCTTCTAACAAAATGAACAATTTATTAATATCTAAAAGCTCCTAAAATTTCAAGCTTCTACAGTCTGGGGTCTAGAAGAAAAACGACATCAAAAATTTGGAAAAAAAGAACTTTAAATAACGGTAAATTTGAGCAGCCATTTTGTTTTTCTTAAGTTCAACTATAGTATACCGCGCAAGGGGAAGCAAGCCACTGTCTTTCTGCGTTTGCAAAATTTCAAAAATGCTTATGGTTTCATTGCAACAAATATTTAAAAAAGGCCATTTTTAGGGTTTTGGGGGGGTATAACTTCTAGAGGGGGGGAGATAGGTAAAAATTTTGTTCTACGGAAATAAGTTTCTAGTGAAGATCTATGTACGTATTAAATTTCAGCTTTCTATCTTCAAAGGTGTAGAAGTTTTGTAAACAGACACACGGACAGACGGACGGACGGACGGACGGACAGAGTGAAACTAATAAGCACTTTTTTCAAAAAATTTTTTGGAAAAGTGCTAAAAAATAGTAACGTAGTATGCCAATCAATATGTATACTAGCAGCTTTTCATTTCTGCAAATACGAAAATCGAATTACATAGTAAGGTCCTTGATGTTTGAAGAGTAACTAAAACTAGAGCGCTATTCACAGAGAGAAAATTTTTCTTTAACTTATTTTCTTAGATATTCTTAATAACTATACATTTTTAGTCTTTTCTGTGTGTTGCCATTTTAATATCAAATTTATGTCAAAAATATAAAAAATACGACTTACTCTGAGTTAGAAGTTTTTTAAGATTGTTGAAGATTACAAGTCGCTAATATCGACCTATTCTTTCATTTTGTCTCAAAAATACCAACAATTCTGAAAGAAATTCTACTAGTTATAAAATAACTTTAAAATTATTTAAATTTTGTTATTAAAATGTTTAAATTAATTAAGCTTTCGAATAAATCGCATTTCAGGAAGATCCTACAGAATTATAATTCAATAGTGCCCTCTTGTATTTGAAAATATTAATGAAAATTGTTTTGAAATTTAAGTTTTTAAGGATTAAAAAAAACGTACTTCATTTAATATTTTTATATAATTTAAATACTTAATAAATTTGCTTTTTTAATTATCAAAAATAATAATTACTCCGATATTGTTTAACAATTAAATGAACTTAAAATTATTTTAATATAAAAATATAAAGCCAGAAATTGAAAAAATTCGGCTGCAGAAATTTGATATATGCAAATATAAGTTTTTTCTTTTCTCTATATTAAAAAGCACTTTTTATATATTAAGTGGAAATTATTACAATTATTGCAATTCCGAATTACGTATAACCTATGTACTTATGTTTGGAAAATTCTTTTTTAAAATTGAATTTATTCTTAATAATAATTGATAATTGTACACGAAAAAAGAAGAACAAAAAAAAAAATTAAAAAACCAAATATTGTCATTTCGAGAACAATATATACATACACACGTATAACATATACATGTGCAAATGACATACATAAATTCAATATTTAATTTATTATATTTCAATTAATATTAAAAAATAATTTAAGTTTTTTTAAAATTTTTATAATGAGATTTTTCAATAATGATTCTTCAATATGAATTGGGTTAAATTGAAACTTATTAAAAACAGGAAAAAAAAAATCTTATACAAATTGAAATTAATTTTTTTTTGTGTTTTTTTTTTTAATTATTATATTTACTTTTTTTTTTGGAGATAAAATGCCATACAAATTTAAACAATTATAAAATTATTGTTACCTATCAGAGACCCTCAGTTCAAGAATATATACATATATATTTATATATATAAATATTTATATGTGAAAAACATTTTTGAAAAATTAATTGCTTCAAACATAAATTTTCAATATATTTTTGTTTGTAACATTAACATGTCCTTTAATTAAAGAAATATTTATTAAAATTTTAATAACCAGTGTAAATATTTCAACGTTTGTGAATTCCTTTGAAAGTTGAATGGGCAGGAATTGAATAATCCTAATTTAAGAAAGCATTACCTTACATAATTGCATTTGAAATTTTATTTTGAGAACGAACTAAATGTCGTCTTAAATTGTATTAGTTTAAGCTTCTTTTCAAAAAACCTCGTTAACGAGACCTCTTTTCAAAAAAACTCGCTTGATGCAGTATATTTGAAAATTTTCATATGTACATATGAAAAGATTTTTATGTGTTTTTGAAAATATTTGGAACATGCTGTTACTATAGCCGACAACCACATATTGAATAAATTAAATTCAATATGAATATTTAAATTTTGAAATGAAATTTCAAATTCATTTCATATATTAAGCTTTTTCTTTTTTTTTAAATACCTTATCTTTTTATATAGCACATTTATTGTTTATGCTTGTTAATTTTTTATTTTTACAGAACCATATACCGAATATCGAATAACAGTTAAAGCATTTACAACAAAAAATGAAGGAGAAGGATCAACACCTATTTATCAAAGAACTGATATAAGCGGCCCATCACCACCAATAATATTAAATTTAACATGCCATTCACAGGATGCATTAAGAATACGTTGGAAAAGACCAAATGATTATTATAATACAATCGATTTATATGTAATTAGTTTTCGTCCTGTTGGTACAACTGAATATGAAAATCGTAAAGAGAATGCATCAACTGAACATTTAGAAACAATGGTGAGTAATTAAAAAAAACTTTGCTACAATAAAAAAACTTTAATAATTTTTTGTTATCCTAAAAGTATGCAATTTTTACAAATTCATAAAAACTTATTTATTAGTGCAATTGAAAAATTTTCATTCATAAGATCCATTTTGTATTATTTAGTTACATAATTATTGCTCGTTTTAATTAAATAAATTAAAAATTTAATGAAAAATAAATAGGTAATAAAGAATATTGTGTATTTTTTTAATACAATAATTAAAAGTAAATTTAATTTTCAACGACATAGCAGTAAAGTACTTAAAACTATTTAATTAATTTATTAAAATTCAGTCCACAACTTTGACTTTAAATGAATTCTAAAATATAAAAATGATTGCTTATTTACGAGTTTTGAAAAATCTAATTAAAAAACAATTTAATTTGGAATAGTTTGGAAGGTAGTTCTGTGACTCTAAAAAATTATTCCTTATATAAAAATTATTAACGAATTTCTTTCCAACTAACCTTTTCAACTTCACACAAACTGATTATATCGCATATAATACTCAAAAATATCTAGTAGAGTGTACTTAAAAATAATTTCAACTACACTTTTTGTGCAATCAAATAAATTTAAAACTTTAAAATATTTTACAAAGTTAAAAATACCATAAATATAATTAACAAAAGTTTTTAAATTCTACACTATTAATTTTATTAAAAATTTTATACTTAATAAAATTTTATGCTAATTACCCAACTTTTTCCCATATTTCCTTAGAATTTTTTTTTTTTTTGCAAAAACAAAATTATTATTATAATTATATTACATTTATATATAATTATTAATTAAAGTGAAAAATTATGTTTTCAATTCAATAAAAAAAAAAATTTATTTTTTTATATTAACAAATAAATATTTGTTTTTAACTAACATTAAAAAAAAAGAGAGAGAAAAATAAAAACTAACAATAAAACTGCTTTTTAACCATACGCATATAAATTTTTGAAATCTACAGTTATATATGAATTATTTATGTTTGTTTACTTTTAATAAAATTAAAATCTCATATCGCATATGAGTGTACTCCCACAACATATTTTAACAATTTCTAAGAATTAATGAAGCGAAAAATTGCATTCGCATTTAAAATAAAAAAAAAAGTTTGTTTTTTTAAAAATATAGGAAAAAAACAACTACATAGCTATTTTGCTTCTCTCTACGGTCTTAATATGCGTATGAATTGTGTATATAACTATAATACACATAAAAATATTATGCAACGCTTTGTATTAGAAATTTAAAAAGGAATTTTTCATTTTATATTAGAGTTTGGCTTCCATCTAACATGAAAACAGAAAATCATAATCATATAGGGTATAGTGTGCGTTTATTAGAAAAAAAAATATATTGAATCTATTTATATGAATTTATTATTAGGATTTATGAAATTTTATAAAAATTCTTATAAAATATTGAAGACCAATAAAAATTAATAAAAAAAATAATCAACGAAGTTTCTTTGTATAAATCCTTCGTTTCATTTTCTAAGCATCCAGCAATATTTCCGGAAGAAATGTTTTTCTTAAATAATTAAAATTGTAATTTTTATTTGATTGCTTTTAATTCAAATTCTGTTTGTAAAAAATTAGCTAGTGCTGTTTAATTTGGCTATGTAAATATTTAAATTGTTAAACCAAAAACTTAAACAAATGAGCAATAAGATATTGGTACATTTATTTTTTAAGGTAAAATGGAACCACTTATTTTATTTCGTTTAGAGTACAATCGGTAAAAATTAGGTTCCTTGTCAAAGTTTCTGAAATCACCTAAGATTATCCCATATTCTCATTTATATATACATTATCATTTAATATTTACGTTCATTTATGTTACGAGGGTATAAAAGGTTTGTTACGGCTTGAAAGTGTGTTTCCAAATAATTTTGCCATTGCATTTCCACCATACTTCTTATAGTGAATAAAAGAATCTAAATTTCTAAAAAATCACACTTCTAAATTATGTCCAAGTCCAGTTCATTTGCTGCTCTTAATTTTATTCAAAATTGCTTTACTCATATAACAGTTCCGTCAAGATCAATGTCCCAACTAGACTAACTTAATAACAACGTTGTAGGAATAAACTTTATGAAAACAACTTCAATTTTCTCTTAAAATTTAATCCAAATTTTCAAATTAAATTTACCTACTTAGATTTAAATTACTAAGAAAAAAAAATGTTATACAAAAAATTTTGTTCAAAATTATTTAATATAATAATAAAGTTGATTCTGTTATAAAAATTCGCAATATATGTATATACAAAATTATACACCATAGTATATTAATCTATTCATTTTTATAAATTGACAACAAACGAATTGATGCTCCCATAGGACATAATATTATTTTAATATTACAAAAATGAAAATGGTGTATATAAAAATGTTTTAAATATTGAAAAGCGAACTTGATAGGGAAAATTATATTCCAATCAATTCAAAAGATTTCTCATTTTATATTTTGAATCACACGAATTGTCTTGAAAAATGTGGTAAAATTGGTTTAAAAAACGACATACAAACTTCAGAAAATATGAAAAATCATGTAAAAAATTAAATAATTTAAATTTAATATTGATATAAGATTTCCACAAGATTTTATTTTATTGGAATAACTACTGGAGGGCATCAAAATTTTCTATATTATATAATATAAGTAGTTTAAATAAAAATATAATTAGAAGAAAAAATGCGAATCCATTAAAATAATTAAATAAAAATGCATATGACCAATTTCATATTATGGTAGCTGTAGAATTATATAATTTTTATACACAATCGTACAATAAAATTGCAACTATTTATAGATATACATAATAGATTCATAATTTATATTTGATTTAAACTTTAGCCAACAACTTGCTGTACAGTTTAATTCAAATCTTTTGCATTTATACCATAAAAACTTCAATTATTGTACTTTTACAAGGCATGATTCTTTTACAAAACAAAAAGGCGCCAAAATATTATAATTTAAAAGGACATAAAGGACTTGAATCTTACCTGATTTATTATACTATTTTACATTACATAATTTTTTTTTGTGCAAATACCGTGGTATTATTTGTTCTTTTATATAAAAGCATATTGCATTTTATTATTTAAAAATGCAAAAATATTTTCCTATCCCATAATACCTATACCTACTTTGCAATTTATTTTAATACATATACATATAATGGGGCTCTGGTTTTTAAGGCTTTTATTGTTGTATTCACTATACGAACATTTTTTTTAAAAAATATTTTATTTTATTTTTAAACATTTTCATATAAAATATTCATATTATAATTTCATAATATTTCAGATGATTCTAGAAAATTTAACAACAAATTCCATATATGAAGTAAAAGTATGCGCTGCATCCCGTAGTGTTATGAATCCACGTAAATTGGTTTTTGGCAAATATTCAGAACCAAGAAAGGTAAGCTGTTTATAAATAAAGTGATATCATATATCATGACATTATTTATTATTATTTCTATATTATATACATATATATGTATAAATGTATTTATAATTATACAAAGTAATCCATAAAATTTATTGTATAACAAAAATATTCATAATTAAATTATGGAATATACATGTATTCTCTATTTATAAACTGTAATGTAGGTCTATCGGTATATCATGTTGAAGAACATTTCTGCTAGAAATTATATTCGGTATTAGTGAATGTTAATTTTCACTTATAAAGGAATTATAAATGCGATCTTATTAATATTTTAAATGAAAAAAAAACTTTTCTTAAATTCGAGAAAGAATTTTTTAATTACTTATTAAAGCTGACTTACTTCCCATAATTTCAATTATTTTCATTCACTAATAATGAACAATCCGAGTCAGACTGGTAAAAATAATCTTAATCAATTATATACGGACAGGAACATAAACTGATAAATAATGTATTTTATTGTTTTTCAATACCTTAACAATCTGAGCAGAAAAACTTATTTTTAACATATTTAGCATTAGCTTTTATAGTTATATGGCAATTACTCGAAACTGTCAAGCCATTTCACACAAACTTCAAGGATATGTGTAACCCATAATTGGACACATGACTGCTAAGTCTCATAAACGTAACTCTATTATTTTTTCGAATATTCAAATTTGGCTTTTGGAATTATATAGCAGGTACGCGAAGCATTCCATTAAAATTTTGAAAATATATTTAAAGTTTAATTAGACAAACGTTTACAAAATTTCATATTAATATCTTTATTGATTTTTGAAATATTTAAAATAATGGGTTTTAGTCGTATAGCAGCTTGAATATGTTGATTCGGTTGAATTATAATAGGATCCGCCCCTGGCAGAAAAGAAACAGTATGTGAAATTTTTGTGAAATTTTCTTTATTGTTTTTTGAGTTATCGTGCAATCGGACGGATGTGCGGAAATGTCTAAATCGACATAGAATTTTACTCTGAACAAAAATATATACATATGTCCATATCGCAGACAACTCTTTCAAGAGGTTATAAACTCCGTAGTAAAGTTAAAATATCCTTCACGAAGGTTCTTATATTCTGTACTTCATTAAAAGATTTAAAAGATTATTTTTCAATTAATTAATTGATCTAATAAGAAAACTTTACCGAAATACAGTCTGCCAAATACGAACTATGTATATGCTACTAAACTGGAAAGGATATTATTATATAATAAATCAAATTAAAATATAATAAAATCATTTTCCACCCACATATACATATGCAATATTTTTAGATATAAAAGGATCAAAAATATTTTGAATAAATTTTTTTCTTCACTAAAACTACATACAAAATAACATAAAAATTGAAAGAATATTTGTACATACACATTGTATATAAAATTTGTATTTAAAATTAAAAATAAAAAAAAAAAACAAATTAGTTGAAATGAAATTGAAAATAAGATTTTCCTCTATTTATTTAAATTTATTATCTAATTTGAATGAAATGGTTTTAATATACTATATTGTACCACGTATATTTTAGATTTTCTAAAGTTTAATAAACAAAATTATTATAATTTGAAATTTACCCAAAAAAAAAAGAGCAATAACACCTGACTGAAATTTTAATCTTTAAAATAACGAAAAATTCAATTAAATTTTATTTCAAAATTCATTTTAAATTTTAATAAAAATAAAATTAGAACTTCAACTGTTATTATTTTCATTATGTTAAAAAAATGAATATAGAAATTATATTTTTATATTTCTTTCTTTGTTCTTTAACAAAGGAAAACTAAGCAAAAATCATAAGAATAAAATATCAAGCCTCACATATCTAAGAAACCGCATTCAATATTGTCAGATAAAAGAAAATTTATAAAAAAAAAATTTAATTTATTTTATTTGAAAAATTTATTCGATTAAAAAATTCAAATACAATTTAAAATTTTAATTTTCAAATTTAATAATAATGAAGTGCACTTGCTTACCCTCTCCATTTGAATAAATAGAAATCAGCACATCCAATTAAAGGTGATCCAATTAAAGTGAACAAAAGTTGACGCAAACATAATAAATTTTCGTTCAAACAACAAAATTTTTCTTTGCATTAAATAAAATTTGGCTCAAATTATTATAACAAGCGCGAAATTTTTAGTTGAGCAAGCAAATATTTTAATATTTAATTCAGAACCTTATATTATACTTGCAATCTTAAGAAATTTGAAAAGTTCTAGGTTTTAAATAGTAAATTAATTATAAGTTACTCTGACCGATATTGTTGGTCTTATAAATTGTAATTGATAGTTATATTAACAATTACATTATGTCACATGAAATGCAAATATTTTTCTAGCCAGAGACTTTTCATAAATATTGATTTTCTGAAATATTTCTACAATTTGAAATAAAAAACATTTAATTAAAAATTAAACAAACCCCTTTCGGTCTATTAATAAACAAATACATACTTCTTTATCGTAGTAAAAGAAACTTTAAATTTGTAATTTAACAATTATTTCACATTTTTAAAGCAGATCAAGTTAAACATTCGGAATTCAACGTCTATCAGCTTAAACAAAAAAAAAATTGTTTTTACCTAATTAATAATTTAGGATCAAAAAATTTAATCCATTTTATCGGTTTTTTTTTCGGAACTACACGCACAAGCTTAGTGAATAGCTTACCAAGAACATTTCGTTCAAAAAGTATTAAAGCTGTAGAATTAAAACATATTTTCCACATACTAACAGGCTCGGTTCTGCCTTATTTAGCGCCTTACATATTTTTTAAAAAGTGTATTTCCTCCTCCATCCATTGTGAATTGGGCATGATAAATTACTTTCATGTAACTTTACCATGCTGAATGCCTAATTAAAACCTGGAATTAAAACGTTAAGCTTTTAGTTTTGAAATTTTTGCATATAAGTACATGTTATAAAATTAATTTCGCTGTAAATTACAAACACAAAATAGATTTCATATAAATAATTTTTAGAAAATGCATAATAGAAAAAATTGAAAAACTCTCTTTTTTTGAAATTCAGTTGTTTTTTTTGTGTTTTTAAATGCGCCCCGGTTTTCCAGCGCCCATTGCAAATGCTCACTTTGCATATATGGTAGATCCCGCACTGCATACTAACAATCTCAATAATAATAATATTCTAAAATGAAATATGAAAACTCTTTTCATAATTCTTGATAACTATATTGCAATTCTTTTAATAATAATCATCATTTTGTTCTATATATAAGTGGTATTGCTCCTGTACACATTATATACAAAAGCTATAAGAATTTTATATATAAAGATTCCACAAATGTTATATGCATGAATTCAATTTTATTTTATCTAAAATATAAAATTTAAAAAATAAAATATAATTAATTTTTATGGGAAAAAAATTAATAAAAAACACAAGAACGAAGTTTTCTTGCTCTTCCTCTTTTTTATGTTTTATATATAAAGTTTTTGTTTTCTCATTTTGCATCTAAAATGATACTGACACAATTTAATTTACATATTTTGTTTTTCTGTTTTTCTTTTTCTTAATATTCCCATTTGTTTATTCATTTTCACAATTGTCAGCAATGAAAATCGATTATTTTTTTAAGAAAAAATTATTTTTTTTTTTCATTTATTTAAAGAGAAAAAAAAATAATATGCAATATTATTCAGAAACAGATGTAGGACTCCAAACATATGGTTTACTATGCATGGGAATGTTAACAAAATTATTTTTTATTGCAATTTCCAATTTTATTATTTTTTACCTTTGTGATAAAACTTTTCTTGTGCTGTTTTTTGTTTTTTGTTTTGGTTTAAATTGATATTGGCTTCAATATTATATCCAATTAAAATTAATAGAGCATTTTATATTATCTTAAACGTTCATGTTTTTGATATTTATTTATTTCAATAGTTTGTCCACTACATATTGATTCCCTATAGATATTTTTATATAGCATTAAATAAGTATATAATAAAATATTTATATATAGCAGTATATTAGTGAATTATATTAAATTAATAATTTTAATATAAAACGAATAATAATGACAAACAAATTAAATATAGCTTCAAGTAGACATTTTATATAGACATTCATTTTAATTGATTTTAATTCATCACAATAAGACGAATGTCCCAAATTACAGAACTGAGATTTTAACATTATTTTTCATTATTAAAGTGAAAAATAGATTAATAAAAGCAAAAACATCTTGTTCCCAATCTAAGAATTTAAAACGAGATGTGATTTATAAAAATCCTAATAGAACTAGAAACCAGTTCGATTAGAGTTTCAAGCAAATATTCTTGTTCCTGTTGCGAGCCAATTTTTATAACTTAACATTAAAATTTGAAGTATTTTAAATAATATCCTTTCTATTGTAGTAAAATCAGCAAACCTTGTAAAATTAAATGACAATAATTTTTAAGCAATAGTTAAGTGGAGATGCAAAACATAACGAAGAGACTTTTTGACCTGGTCTTTTTGATGCACCCTTACTCATAATGCTTAAAGTAACTTAAAAGGTGTTAACAGGAAAAAACTCGAATGCTAATTTTGTTTTAAAAGTGGATATTGAATTGAAAATAATCACAGTACGTGCGCATAAAAAATACCATACCCCTTCTTCTGCAATAATTTGTTTTTAGACTTTCCTTAAATATCATACATAAAACACATAGCACGAGTTATACATAGCAATTTTAATAATTAAATTTATGACATAAAACATTCAATAAGCTTTTAATTGACATAAACATTAAACATTCTTAAAATATTATGGTTTGGTTAAAATTAAATTTGAAATTCAATTTAATCAAAAAATATTTGTAAGTTCTAAATTTGACCATAAAAAATATTTTAACATCAAAATGATTCTTAAACATTTTTTTAAATTTTCCACTAGAATTTTGTTAACTAAATTAAAATTCGTAAACTCTGCCGAACAATACCTTTAAAAGAGAAACAAAGAAATAAACAAAAAAAAAATTTTTTTATGAATGAAATAGCAAAAAAAAAAAGGCAAAAATTAGAAGAAAGCAACGTAAAAAACTAATTTTGCATATTCTTTTTGGACCTTTCCTAAATGATATGCATGTAAGGTAGTATATACAACTAAAATTGTATAAGTGCAGAATACCAAAACTAAATTGGAATATGAATTTGAAGAAATCAACATTCTATAGAGAATTTTCATTAAAAAAAAAATTTTATTCTTTTTCATATATATATGTGTACATAATACTCGTATATATGTATGCATAAATAATTTGAAATTTTATATGACATGGGAATATCCTTTTTCATTTATTATATTCGCTTTTCGTATATTATGTATGTACATAATATTTTTTTTTTTTAAACTGATATTTCCACTCAAATTTGTACTTGAAAAAATAACAAAGCGCTTAAACATACAAAACAAACAAAAAAACAAATAATAAAACAAACAAAGAACAAACCTAACTCCCAATTGAGATTATCTCATTTAGAAAAACAAAAAAAAAGCAAAACGGGGAAAAAAATTATATAATTTCATATATGAAACGATTATATAATTTCTGATATATAATGTATATATGTACATAAATATACATATATATGTAAATAATGTATTATGTCCTTAATGTATAAATATATATGAAAATGCAGATATATAACATAAATATCCTTTTATATACATCATATTATATTATAATATTAACCTATTTGTATTTATTTTTTATATATATTTTAATATTTTTTTTCCTCGCTTATATATAAATACTATATATATAATGTATGCACATACTTCTATATAACATGTACATATACAATATGTCTAATTTTTTCGGTTATTTTTTTTTTTTTTCTTTTCATTTTTTTAGATCCTTTTGCATCCAAATTGTGAAAAAATTCAACCCTTGTTACGGCAATCACATAGTGATTACAATTTAGCTGTATTAGTTGGTATTGTATTCAGTTGTTTTGGGATCGTTCTGATTGTGATGGCATTTTTCTTATGGAGGTAAGTTTTTATTTCATATAACAAATATAATTTTAATATTGTATGTATATATGTACATATAATATATTTATATATTAATAATGCAAACATTTATATCCTTTTACAAATACATAATATATATGTGAAAAATAATCATAATAATAATAATAATAACAATGATAATAATAAAAAATAATAGCATTGTCATGGAAATTATTCTGGATTTTCTTTTTTTTTTCTTTTTTTTTTCTTCTTTTTTTTTATTATTGTACACCCTATCTTGTGTTTACTATAATAATATTTATTTGTTTATTGTTTTCGTACTTTTTTTTTTCTTGTTTTTATATATTTATTTTTTTTTTCTCGCAATTTTTTTCATATTATTATTCAAGGATTTAATTCCGAATTAAATTGTAGGATAATACAACTGTGAAAATGTTTAGGGAATTTCTTGAATTCTATGTTATAATAATTTTGTTTTATTTTTTTTTTCTATATTTTTATTTTACATCAAAAGATCTACAATAATTATATATATGTATATTTACATAAGTAGGTATTATTGAGAATATTTTGGGGTTATTAAAGATAGGCGTGCATTTGTTTTCTGAAATTTTGTTTGAACTCATTTTTTTTTCTACTCTGTTTTTATTTCCTAATAATATTTAGATTTGTAAAATTAAGAAGAATAAAAAGAAAAAATATAATATCTATAAAGAAATATGTATTCATATTGTATGTGTAGGTAAATATTTTTCTAAGCAAGCACACATATACATAAAATTAATTGATAATACAATTAAAGAAAATCTAAGAAAGATTAAAATAATTTGGGATTTAATGATATTTTTTTTTTGGTACAATTAAAAGAATATTACCAAAAGATATTAATTTCAATTTAAAAAAAAGCAAGCAAAAAAATTATAATAATAAAAGGAAGAATAAAATAAATTTATTTTAATTGAAAAATCTTAAGAATTACAGAAAAAATAATAATAATTAAATTAGCTTTATAGATATGATAACTATTATACAACAATAATAACAAAATAATGTGGGAGTGTAATATTCAATTAAAATTATTTTATACTTATAGTTAAGAGCAATTCTGTAATTGTACAAACAGAAATAGAAAAATATAGAAAATTAATATTGCTACATTTAAATTTTTGTTTTAGAATATAATTTATATGATATTATAAAAATAATTTTCTTTATTTCAAAAATTAGAACTGTTGATTTGAAAATATTTGATTTTATTCTAAAAAACAAAACAGTATAATTAAATTTACTTTAAATTGTCTTAATTAATTATTAAATTTTTTAAAGAAGAATATAAATTTTCTTTTTAAAATTTAATTTAAGCGAAAATCTAAAAGAGGCAAGAATTTAGGAGTATATTTAAGTAAAAAAAACCAATTTATTATTTAAGATTAATTAATTTAAATTTAAAATGCATATTTAAATCTTTTTAAAATGGTTTTCTGCAAGATATTTTTCAATAACATTGAATAAAATCATGAATTCAATAAAAAAAAATTCACCAATTAACTATGTATTTTCATAGTATCTAATCTTAATTTATTCCTAAATATAGAATATCTAAAAAATTAATTAGTTTAGAAAATAACAACAAAAAAAATAATTGAATTTTAAAGTATGTATTTTTTTTTTATAAATAAAAATTCACAAAATAAAATTTAAATTTTTATTATTAAATTTTAATATTATTTTATCGATAATTGAAGTGTTTTGTTGGCCATTTTGAATAAATATAAATGTTATAATATCACACACTTCTATAAATGCACAAAAAAAAAATTACAATAATAACAAAATTTAAATAAAATTTCCATATCATTATATACAATGTAGGTCATCATGCTAAACAAATTTAATTTTAATTTTAAAATATTTTGCAAGGTTATTTTATTAATGTTATTATATTGAAAGTAAATAATTTAATTTATAGCCCAGTAAAAATTATTCTTACGATATGCGTACAAATATATCTGTTTATCATTGTTGTATAAAGGATAATAGTCTTTTTATATTAAAATTTAAAATTCAATTTCAGAATATTGTGGATAATTATTATGATAATAGTAAATATAATATTATTATCATGACCATATATGAATATACTCGTAATATTAAAAATTCTATTTGTATAAAATTCTTTTAATAACAAAAAATATTCAATAAAATTTATATAATATAATTTTATTCACTTAGCTCTATTAATTAGGTAAATCTATGACATTACGAAAATATCGAAATTCGTTTAAATTATGTATAAAATTTAAAATTTGATGATTCGCATCCATTTATGAAGCTGAAACTTTTCATATACTGATTTAATATATTAATTTTTCATCAGTTGAGTAATTTTGAAAAATAGGTGCATGATTCACTGACTTAAAATGCATTTTGTAATAAATTGATAATCTTAAAAAACTGAGTGGACAAAACAGGCAATTAATCTGCTAGTAAACAGCCAAAATAGGGTATATATTATCTTATCTTTAAGAATTCACAAATTTATTTTAATTAAATGTAATCATTTACACGAATATTATACACAAATATGATAATATTTTAAAGACAACTGGAGGAATTTAGGCTTTTCTAAATCCCTAATTACGAAATTGTAATTCTAAAAATTTTAATTGATCTAATTTTTCTCAATCAAAATGTAGTAACGATTTATGTATTTCCAAGTTGTATAAACTACGAAAAATAAAACTGGTCGGTTTTATGTTTAATGAACAAATTCTTTATTACAACTGACTTATGTTTTCAATTAATAATTACTAATTCAAAATTATCGTATGATAAATTTTAGTATGTATAAATATGTGTGCACATACGTACATGTTGTGTATGTATGTACAAGTAATTTAAATTTGGTTTAATAATTGTTGTACTTATTTATAAAAAAAAAACATTTTCAATAACAAATTGTTAGAAGCTACCTAGCGGTAAAACAAAATTTTATGATGCTGTACTTTAACAAAATAAAAATTTTAAGTTCTTGTAAATTTTAGTACAGGAGCTATATTCAAAAATCGATATTTAAGTTTTAAAGTTTAAATTCAAAATTCAACTACAGAATAAGGTAAAAAATTTTAAAGTACGAATTTTATAAATTGGAGTTAAGTTGTAATTATCAAAATTCGAAATGACAATGAGAATTTTACCATAACGCCACCCCAAAAAAAGGTTAATATATATGTTGAACTTAGAATGATGTTTATGACTGATTATCGAGTTCAAATTTTTCTGGTAATGGACAAACCCTAGTGATAGCGCGATTAAAAATGCCGTTTTTGGTTTTAACAGCGATAGCTCGAATGCAACCATCCTTGCCTGGGAAAACTTCGATTACTCTTCCTAAACACCAGCTTTTTGGAGGTAAATTTTCTTCGATAAGTAAAACCATGCTGTTTATTTTAATATTGGCATGTTGTTTTCTCCATTTTGAGCGTTGTTGTAATAAATGTAAGTATTCTAAATGCCACCGGGACCAAAGGTTTTGATAAATTTTAGTTATACGTTGCCACCTAGTGAGTAAATTTTCATGTTTGAAAAATTCTTGATTGTCGTTTAAAAAAAGTGGTTCTGAAATGTTTACAGTGGTCCACCAATCAAAAAATGAGAAGGAGTTAGCACGTTTAGATCATTTGGATCGTCTGAAAGTGCGGTTAAAGGCCTCGAATTTACTAAGCTTTCGATTTGAATTAATAAAGTTTCTAGCTCCTCATATGTTAGTGGTTTAGTTCCAATGACTTTATTTAATTTGTCCTTTACCATTTTCACTGAACTTTCCCACATACCGCCAAAATGTGGGGATCGGGCCGGTATAAATTTCCATTTAATAGATTCTGTTGAACAATATTTGTTAATTTCATCTTTAGTTTTTTGTAATTCGAATAAATTTTTCAACTCTTTAAGTTTGTTATTAGATCCAATAAAGTTTGTTGCATTATCCGATAAAATTGTTGCAGGTTTACCTCTTCGTGATATAAAACGTTTTAGACACGCCAAAAATGCTTCTGTTGACAAGTTGGAGACAACTTCTAAATGAATCGCTTTGGTTGAAAAACATACAAACAAACAACCATATGCTTTTACAGGGGCTCGGCCTCTTACAAGTTGTGTTATCCAAAAAGGACCAAAAAAGTCTACGCCTGTATGGAGAAATGCTCGAAAAAGATGAACTCGTTCGCTGGGAAGATCACCCATAAGTTGTTCTATAGTGCGAGGTCGATAACGAAAACATTTGACGCAGCTGAATACGATGTTCTTCGCCAAACTCTTTCCCCCAAGTGGCCAAAATCTTGTGCGGATGATTGAGAGAAGAGTTTGTGCTCCAACATGGAAATTTTTGATATGCTGGTACTCAAGTAATGCTTTTGTGATTTGATTTTTAGGAAGAATCATTTGATGTTTTTGATCAAAATTAAGTGATGAATTTTTTAAGCGTCCACCTACACGAATTATTCCACTTTTATCGATAAATGGTGATAAGCTTTTTAACTGACTGTTAACTGGAAGTTGTGAACCCTTTTTTAGTAAATCATATTCTATAAGGAAATTTTGTTGCGAAAGTTTAACAATAAGGAGTAAGGCGTCTTCAAGTTCTTCCGCTGAAGGTGACTTTGCTTTTTCAAGTTGTATATACTTATTAGAAGTCTTTGGTTTCGTAATTCTACTTTTCATTATTCTTACAAATCTCAGTACATATACGAAGGCATGTTGTAATCTACGAAAGGAATTTAAAAATATAAGATTAGTAAAAATATTCGTAACGGATTTTGACGTTAGAAAAACTTCAACAGCTTGTTCTGGTAAGTCTTCGAAATTTGTTGGGATGTACTTATTTTCCACTGATGGTTTGTACAAAAATGAGGGTCCGTTAAACCAAATTTCAGATTTTAACAACTTCGATGTAGTTGAACCTCTAGAAACCAAATCTGCAGGGTTTTCAGAGCTAGGCACATAGTTCCATAAATATCCAG